ATCATCATGTATCATTATCATGTATCATCATCATCATGCATCATCATGTATCATCATCATGTATCATCATCATCATCATGCATCATCATCATCATGTATTGTTGTATCATCATCATTATCAGTTTGTTCTTACTGAACTTGCTATGTGTTTGTTCCCAAATTTTGATCACAATGAAAAGTATGCTATTAACCCCATGCAATCTGGAGTGAATAATGTACTGTATAACATACCTGAAGTGGGTTTATCAATAAAGGTTTTTCTGCAATAAAAAAGCAAACCAATAATGATTTTCATGTAACTATAACTGGAATCAATTTTATCTTTTTATCATGAACTGTACTACTTGAGTTCTTGGAGATAAGATAAAAACCTAAAGTTTTTTTATGCTGCCCACATAAACCCACCCTGAAGCACGTAAATGTGAGGCTATGTGCAGAGAAATCTATTGTTCTAGCCAACATGGCTGCTGTGTGTGAAAAGTCTTTTAATAAATCCCACACTAAGCAAACAAAAATTTGGGAAAGCTGTTCTATATTTGTTTGTATTCCACTGTTGCTTCCCATCATGCATTGCAGCCTAGGGGGATTTTCAATGGTGGCTCAATTTGTTATCATTATCAACATCATCATCATCATCATTGCAAAATCATCAACATTGTCATCACTACCCTATCATAATCATCTTCACCATTATCTTTCATCAACACCATCAGCATCATCTTCACCAACATCATCAACATTGTCATCACCACAATCATTATCACCACCATCATAATCAYCACCATCACTTATCACCATCATTATCATCATTTTCATTACCATCATCATCATCACCATTATCACTCATCACCACCATCAACATCATCTTCACCAACATCATCATCAACATTGTCATCACAATCACCATCATATCATCACTCATCACCACCCCCATTATCACCACCACCACTATAATCATCTCCATTATTACCACCATTACCACCACCATTCCGATCAGCACTACCATCACCACCACCATCACCACCACCATTCTGATCAGCACTACCATCACCACCACCATCATCACCACCACCACCATCACCACCACCACCACCACTATGATCAGCACTACCATCACCACCACCACCATCATCACCACCACCACCATCACCACCACCACCACCACTATGATCATGATTCCCTTTATCACTGAATTATTCTTACTTTCTTTTCTCAAATTTCTCTTTAAAACCTTTAAGATCTTGGAAATCATCATCATCAGAACTATAGTAATCAGCTAAAAACAGATACACAAAAAATAAAATGCATCACAACACTAATGGAAATAAATGTGGTGAAACATACATGGATATTTTCAGGATCTAGAGAATATTTAGAGATAATCACATGTTTTAGCTTGGTATCATTTTTATTCACAGGTTTCCATATGATATTGCAACCGAGGAGTCTGTGAGTGAGTGATATAATGTGGAAAATGAGTAAATAAAAAACATGTATCAGGCTCTTAACACGTAATACTTATTTTTGTTTATTACACATTTAGGGTTGATAAAAAAAAAAAAATCCTTTTTTCACGAGGGTAGCACTTAATAGCCAATGGCTAACAAACCTGTGGCCCTCATTCCATGATTGAATTGGAATTTAGGAGTTGATTTTTGCGGAGGGAGGAAAACCGGAGAACCAGGAAAACCCTCGAAGCACAGGAGAGAACCAACAATCAACTCTACTCATATACAACACTGAACCCGGCGGGACTCGAACTCGGGTCACATTGATGAGAGGCGAGCGCTCACACTGCTATGCCACCTGTGCTTCCCTGTAGCGGGCCAATTTTACAGTTGCAATGACAAAATAATTTACCGTTTCCATTTTACCGTGAAAAGATATTGTATCACTTCACTGATATGGTTTTTATTCATGGCTTTATTACATGGATATCAAACCTAAATGTGATAAAAAATACATGTATTATGCAATACTTAAATTTCGCATTAGAAAAAAAGCTCAACACATACCTTCAACATCAGCATTTCTGCACTTCTCGCAAGACGACTTTTTTGGCTGTTCCCCAGAGAAAAACTTTTGACACATGCCAAAAGCTGAACAAAATTTCTTCATAAAATTCCAAAACTTGAAGGAACTATTTACATTGCTGACTAGGCACATTCGGTTTAACTTTCCAATCTTGACCTTAACCAAAATACATCCACCTTGGCAAGAAGGCACATGTTTTATGGCATCAACAGGAGAATATCCACAGAGGACGATCGCAGAAACCAACTGCTTGATAATATCAGGAAGAGAACCGCTGAATGAGGTAGATAGTTTTTTGATTTTGTTTGGATTCAGTAACGGGCCAATTTTACAGTTTCTTCTGCAGTAAATAGTAAATTGGGTGTTTGGTTTGGGCATGGCTGGTTCTTTCTAAAAAATAATAGAAAATAGATTATGGATGGATGGATGGATAATAATAATAATAATTTACAATCACCACTCCCCATACGGGTCTCTTCCGTTAGGTTCCCTCCACACGCACTACCACTACGTTCTATATTTACAACATAAAACACTCAACTCACATGTTGATTTTTACAGAGGGAGGAAACCGGAGATCCCAGAGAAAACCCTCACAGCATAGGAGAGAACAACACATCAAACAAACTCAATTCACATGTGGCGACCGCAGGGCTCAAACCAGCGACCCTATCTGTTGGACTCACAGCGGTGAAAGACGACGCATTAGCCGCGAACGCCTACCCATGCTATCTATGGATGGATGCGTAACTCTAACACATAAAATTTAAATAATATAAACAGTTCAAAGAGTACAGTAAATAATTACTATCTATGATTTACTAATTAAAATAATTATATTGAACGATTTGTTACTCGTTGCTAGCGATGAAGTTGAAAAGCCTTATTTTCTTTTTAAATTTAGAAATATTTGGCTCCTCTTTTATGTCATTAGGAAGAGAACACTATGTCTATAATAATCTGTCCTAGCTTTGGGAATTATCAAATTTTGGATGGATGGATGGATGGATGGATGGATGGATAGATGGGTGGTTGGGTGGATGGATGAATATTTGAATGGATATTTGATGAATGGATAATTGCCTGGGTTGGTAAGTGGACTGATAGACTGGCAATTGATTGAAGGATCGGTTAACAAACCTAACCCACATACAATAAACAAACCAATTTTTTTTCAGAAATCTCTGATCCTTGAGTTAAATCAAGGTGTCATTCACATACCTTAAACAATTCAACTGTTGGTCCTATTTTGGATGGCATCAACTCTTTTAAAATAAACGTAAAAAAAATCTATATATCATAATATTGATTCTAAATAATAATAATGATGGGGGTTCATATATAGCGCATTTTCACATCATCTCAATGCACTCTACATTTTATGACCAGTGGAGGACTTTATGGGGTGTAAAATAAGCCGTTATTGGCAGCCATCTTAGAATCATGAGTAAATCTTAGTATATTAGTATTATGCCTCCAAATTGGGAGTTTTAGATTGATAAAAAACAGCAATGGAGAAATATTAAGATGAATAGTTATTTACATAGCCATCAGAGAAAAGTAAAGACGATGAAGATGATAATAGTGATGGTAATGGTTAGGCTTACAGTTATGACAGTTTCATTATTAGATATACATTTTTATCAAACATTTAGGGTTGATACCCCTATCCACCCTAAATGTAATAAACAGATTATCATAAGTTAGGAGCGTGATATTGTATTTATTCAATCGCTTTCCATATCATATCGCTCAATTCCTTGCAAACGTGCTTGTTTGCCTCATGATATGGAGAAAACATGCAAATAACAATGATATCGAGCTCTTAACATGTGGTTATCTCTAGTTACACCATTTCAACAAAATTTCTGTCTGTTAAATTTTCAGAACATAATGTCACCTACCTTGCTTTACATCACATTGTTTACAAATCCTTTGACTACAGGACAGAAATTTTGAACAGCACTGAAGATTTTGAACAAATTTCTCAATGACAATCTCTCCTTTACTTTTGCGATCCAGTACAGGTAGTCTATAATAATGTTTTTTTCTCTTTCCATCTTTTTCCTTTTCTATTACTTCACTTTTTATTGTCGAACCTCTTTTTAAGGGCACCGGCACCTTGTTGAACGTGTCTTTGAAGTTTAATCCTGCTAACACTACAGCTTCGATGACTTTTGTAATTGTTTGAGAGACACTTCTATCTTGGAAGAAGTTCCGCAGAGTTTCAACTTTGCTAGGGTCAAGATAGGGTCCTGGGTTGCACGATTTTCGTACATAAACCGTAAACTTGTCATCCATTAAAGAGGACTGTGCCATGGTTCTAAAAACGTATTATACACTTGCTTTTAGAAACTATGGTATGATGGACTTTGGCAATAGACCCCTTGCACTGAGTCCCTAGAGGAATTGTTCTGGGGAACAAAACAATAGGCCATCTTCCACAGGAAAAAACAGATTCCCAAATTGGGAATTTGTTGGGAATTTCCTTGAATTCCCAACGAATTCCCATCCAATTCCCAGAGAGAATGAAATTGGGAATGTGGCACTGATTCCCAATGTTAGCTTGTTGGGAATTTTATTTTTCTATTGGGTATTAGTAGGAAATTCCCAACAATAAATCCCAACGTTGGTGTTCGAATTGGGAATTCAAGGAAATTCCCAACAATTCCCAATTTGGGAATTTTTTTCCTGTGTTCTTATGTAAAAAAATCAATCCTCTTGTACCCAGAACAATACCTCTCGGAACTATACAAGGAGACTATACACGTTCTCATAATGGCTGACGAACACAAGAAAATGATGTCACCCAGTCATCTTGCAAGGCTGCCCATTCAAAATTAAGGTGAATAGGTGGATAAGGAGGTCAAAACAAAGGGTCCATTTCTATACTTTTCTTCTATAAATACATTTCACGTGTTTTATATTTTTTATTGTGTACTAAGGCCAAAAGACCTCATTTTCATGCACTTGTCAGCCATTATCAGAACAGTGTATTGCAAAGACATCATTTACCCAGGGAGCAGGGAGCCTATGTATAAGAACTAGTCTTAAAAGTAATAAATTGACTAAAATAATGATACTTAAATACTGTCCTAACCAGTTAAGAGGCAATGTCCACAAGAATCGAACAAATTCAAGAATTCGTGGCAAGGGTCAAAAAATCAAATTCGCTCTTCTTTTAAAGTTAGATAGGCCATTATTAGATATGAATCCCTGGGTAGTTGGTTTTCGAAAATTTTATTTTATTTTCGAGAAAACTGCCACAGAAGAGGTTCGACCGAAAACCAAGCAAGAGACGTTCAAGAGGAGTGAAAATGGACAAACTTTGAACAGAGCGCGCGTAAATAATAAACCATCTATGACAATTTTTGAACTTTCTTCTTAATGTATCACCCTTTTTCGTTCATTGGACTGGATTTCAAGCTTAATGGGAAAGGGACGAATTTTTGGCGAGGGAAAATAGGAGGCCTGTGTTTACATATGCTAATTAGTTGCCTCAAAAGAAAAAAAGATTTATCTATGGGCAAGTTCTCTGATTGAAATAATATTTATGCTGCAAGTTGAGGAAGAATAGATCTTTTCAAAACTTTAAAGACTGATTTGGGGAAATTAATTCTGACTGCATAGAAACCTGTTGAATTTGGTTGAAATACATGCGAAAATCACGCTTCCTGAATCAATGCAGGACTAAGGATTTTCGTAAAGATTGCCATRAAATTTACCCTGAAAACTAAGAAATTAATGTTTGTGCCGTTGTTTGAAAGTTCAATGTGGTTTGGTAAATTTAAGCTCCATTGGAAAGGTTTTGAGATTGTTGGTATATGAGCAAAAAACGCTATCTTTGGTGATTGCGTGACC